GTTCGCTGCCATGTGGGAGCGGGGGCCCGGCCTGCCTGTGGCAGCTCCAGGGCTTGGGATGGCAGCTGGGGGATGGGGGATTAAGGAGACTGGGCTCTCACTTCCATCCTACTCTCTTCTCTCTTGCAGATCTTTGGTGACTACTACCACTTTCGGCACAGCGGTGTGGTGAAGCGTTCCCTCTCGCCCCACCAGCCCTGGCACAGCCGTTTGGCCAGGGAGCCCCAGGTATGTGCAGTGGAGGACCCTGCCTGCCATCTGGGAGGGCCTGGATCCAGTCCAGGGGGCTTTGTGCTGTCATGTGAGCCAGCACAGAGCACAGGACAGGGCTGAGCTGCCGTAAGCCATCCCCTGGCACTGCACTGGGGCTGGCAGTGCTTGGCAGAGCTCTGTGCCCTGACCTGCTGTGAGTCTCCTGGCACTGCCACCCCTCACAGCCAGGCAGGGGGGACAGTCTGGGTGCTGCTGGGACTCTGACAGGGTCAGGAGCTCTGCCAGCTCCCCAGGGAGAGACCCCCAGTGCAGGCTGCCCCCGTGCCCTCTCTGTCCCCCAGAACCCCGTGCCCTCTCTGTCCCCAGGTGCAGTGGCTGGGGGGGGAGGTGGCAAAGCGCAGGACCAAGCGAGACATTTTCATGGAGCCCACGGACCCCAAGTTCCCACAGCAGTGGTACCTGGTGAGTGCTGGGGAGGTGGGGAGCTGCATAGTTGTGACAGTGAGTTCTGGGAACATGGAGGTGGCACCCAAGGGGCTGTGGTCAGATGTCTGCTGCTGTGAGCCAGGCTGGCAGGGAGGAGGGAGGCCCAAGGTGGCCACCCCAGGCTGAGTGTCAGGGACCTCCCAGGGATGGGGCTGTGCTCCCGGAGCTGCAGATCCTGCCGGGATGCTGGCAGGGCTGGGAAGAACCTGGGGCTGGACCAGGGGGAGAAGCCCTTTGCTGTCTGCAGGAATGGGGTCTGTACTTGGGCAGAAGCCTGATCTCCATGCAGCGAGCCATGTTTATGTGGCCTGGGCACAGCTGGGGCTCCATCTCTTTTTGGGGTTGCTCCTCAGGTGGCCCTGCCCAGCCCTCTGTGCCCAGTCCCTGGGATTTCCTTATCCCTGTGCCCCACAGAGTGGGGGCAGCTGGGCCTGGGAGGGGTCCAGGCACGCCCCACCACCGTGCCAGCCCTTGGCACAGCCCCTATTGCCAGGGCTTCTCTCGGCAGTACAACACCAACCAGCGGGACCTGAATGTACGTCAGGCCTGGGAGCAGGGCTACACGGGCAAGGGCATTGTGGTTTCCATCCTGGATGATGGCATCGAGAAGAACCACCCTGACCTGGAGGCCAACTACGTAAGTGTGGGGTGATGCCACAGGGTGGAGTGCCACGGGAACCTGTCTGGGCAGCACAGCCCTTGGGTGCAGCCCTGGAGTTGTGTGGCACAGGGCTCCTGCTGCTGTGGTGGGACATGGAGGAGAGCAGTAGAGGTGGGGCTGGAGCCTGCTCAGCCCAGCCCCAGGGACAGGGAGCACAGGTGTGGCCCCAAGGTGGGGGGGCTTGGTGGCCAAGGTAAAAGGTCTCTAACTGCCAGATCTGCCTTCCAGGATCCGGGGGCCAGCTTTGATGTCAATGACCAGGACCCAGACCCACAGCCCCGCTACACACAGATGAATGACAACAGGTGAGGCAGGTGCAGAGGTCAGGGCAGTGTTGGCCAAAGTGGCAGAGCCTGGCAGGGACTTGGTGGCAGCACCAGCCCTTAGAGACTGCCAGAGGGGCAGAGGTGGCAGCACACTTCTGCCCCACAGAGAAACCTACCTCCTGTTCCCATGTGAGCAGCCTCCCTTGGGCCTGCCCAGTGCCAGCACCAGCCATTTGGTCTCCCTGGCTCCAGAGCAGGAGGGAGGATGGAGGGGCCCTGTGAGGGTGCTGATCCCTCCAGCTGCAGCTGGTGCCCAGCCCTGTGCTCCTCATGCCTGTCTGAGCACACCTCCTGTTCCCCCTGCAGACACGGCACACGCTGCGCCGGGGAGGTTGCTGCTGTGGCAAACAACGGTATCTGCGGTGTCGGCGTGGCGTACAACGCCAGGATCGGAGGTGGGGACCCTGCCCTGTGCCAGGCGTGGGAGGCAGGCTGTGCTGGGGTGCTGGGTGCTGCTGGCCAGGGCAGCCCTGCAGTGCCAGCTGGGACAGGGTGGCTGGAGGGCTCTCGCCATCGGCTGGGCTGCCCCGTGGCCACCTTGCCTGTCCAGTCGCCCATGACATCTGCTTCTGGCCCTAGGCGTGCGCATGCTGGATGGGGAGGTGACTGATGCTGTGGAGGCCCATTCCCTGGGCCTCAATCCCAACCACATCCACATCTACAGTGCCAGCTGGGGCCCTGAGGATGATGGCAAGACGGTGGATGGCCCGGCCCGGCTGGCAGAGGAGGCTTTCTTCCGTGGGGTCAACCAGGTGAGCAGGAGAGTTTGCTGGGGAATCCCCTGCCCCCTCCCTGGGTCTCCCTGGCTCTGCCAGCCCCAGCTGCTCTCCTGGCCCTCATGCAGTGATCTTTCTTACATCCCATCTCCAGGATCAGGCTCTGTTGGTTTTTCCTGTTCTTCTGGCATGGTGACTCTGAGTCAGGGCTCCTCCCGTGCTGCTTATCTCCCCTTTGAGCAGTCCTGTCCTCCCTGTGCAGGGACAGTCTCTCCCTGCTCTCTGAAACCCTGTGCTGGTTCCTGCCTGGTTCCATGCCAGGCCCTTGCTTCCCTCCCTTGCCCTCCGTGCTGTCCCTGCTGTTGTCAGCACAGTGTGTGCTGTGGCCGTGGTGCAGCCTGCATGTTTCAGCTCTGCCCGGGACTCCCTGCAGGGGGCTCGTGCTGCCAGCCCGCCCCGCGGTGCCAGTGCCAGCGCTGTCCCCCTGCTGTGCCAGAGGCTACGGGTGAGCTGCCGGTTGGGATGCTCTGCTGAGCTCCTGCCGCACTCCCAGCCACTGCAGGTCCCATGCACACCCTCGGCGTGGTTGACTTCCCAGTGGAAAAACACATCCATTCATGAAAGCCCCTCTTGGGCAGGGCTTCCTACCACCCAGCACCTGACCTGCTGGGGTGGCTCCTGTAGCCCCTGTAGAGGTCCCAGCACTCCCCATAGGCACGGTGGTGGTGAGGGATGTCAGTGCTGGGTGCCCAGGCCAGCGGCAGTGACCGATGGTGTCCCCCTGCCCCTCACTGTCCCAGCTGTATCTGGTCAGTCTTTCCCACTCAGGCTGCAGGACCCTGGGGCTGGCAGGTTGGCTCTCCCCAGCTCCAGCCTGGGGCACCAGCCCTCACCCTGCCTCTCTTGATAGGGCCGAGGGGGGCTGGGCTCCATCTTCGTCTGGGCGTCTGGGAACGGGGGCCGCGAGCACGACAGCTGCAACTGTGACGGTTACACCAACAGCATCTACACGCTGTCCATCAGCAGCACCACACAGTACGGCAACGTGCCCTGGTACAGCGAGGCCTGCTCCTCCACCCTTGCCACCACCTACAGCAGCGGCAACCAGAATGAGAAGCAAATTGTGAGTGGGGCTGTGGGTGCCTGGGGGCCCGCGGGGATGGGACCTGCAGGAATCCCTCTGGGAGCCCTGGTGCTGTGGTGCTGGCAGCAGGGCTGGTCCTCACTGCTGCTCTGGGTTCACTCCTGGGGCTCAGACTTTTGAGCTCAGGGCTCTTGGGGGAAAGATTGTGAGCAGCCCTGCAGCAGTGGCTCTGCCTTGTCTCTGGTGCCACTTGTGGTGACACAGAACTTCCTAAGCTCCTGGGTGTGGCTGGTGCCCACAGCACCTACCGCAGTGCTCCCGCTGCAGGTGACAACTGACCTCAGGCAGAAGTGCACGGAATCACACACGGGGACATCGGCCTCGGCGCCCCTGGCTGCTGGTATCATCGCCCTCGCCCTGGAGGCCAAGTAAGGGCAGGCAGGGAGTGGGGCTGGGGTGGGCGGGGCAGGGACCTGGTTGGGCCAGAGTGCCAGGTGCCAGTGCCTGAGCCCCACATCTCCCCACAGCAAGAACCTGACCTGGCGGGACATGCAGCACCTGGTGGTGCAGACATCCAAGCCTGCTCACCTCAACGCCAACGACTGGGTCACCAATGGTGTTGGCCGCAAAGGTACTGGAGGGACAGGGACAGACCAGGGGCTCCTGTTCCTGCCAGCACCATGGGGCAGAGCACCCCAGCAGCCTTGGGGGTGAAGGAGGCCTCAGAGAGCCCCTGCTGGCAATCCCCTGCCCTGGGAGCAGCGCTGACCCCCTCTCTGTCCACAGTCAGCCACTCCTACGGCTACGGCCTGCTGGATGCTGGCGCCATGGTGAGCCTGGCCAAGAACTGGACCATGGTGGGACCTCAGAGAAAGTGTGTCATCGATGTCCTCATGGAACCAAAGTAAGGGCTGGTGAGCCCAGAAGGGCATCACCCTGTGTCCACCCATGCATGACCCTGCACAGGAGCCTGGGCACCTCAGGATCCAGGGAAGGGAGTTGGGGAGTGTCTCCAGGGCTTAGCTGCCCTGAGACCCCAATCATCCTCTTGAGAGAGCCTGGGGAGAGCCAGGAGAGCCACCATCCAGTGCCGAGGTCGGCTGCTGAGCCTGTCCGCTCTGGCCGGGGCCGGGTGCTGTGGTTTGGGCGCTGCCAGCACGAGTCATCCCAAACAGAGGGGCTTTTCAGGGACACACAGAAGGTCCTTTTACTCCGGCTTGGCCACTGCCGCCGCAGCGCAGTGTGCGCTGGGTCTCGTGTGCAGCCAGGATGCTCTCTAGGGGCTCTGGGAGTGGGGGTATCTCAGGGCATGGAGCAAGCCTGGGGTGGGCTCTGCCTGCTGCCCTTCCACCATCCTGTGGGACCAGCTTTGGCCATCCAGGGCAGTCACTCCTTGTCACCAGCGTCCTATGCTGGCACTGGGACTGACACCATGGGTGGTTGTGGGGGAAGTTCGCTCAACAGGAGCAGCAGGATGGGGATGGCTGTGCTGTCCTGTCCCTGCTCATGCCATGCAGGGTGGAGCCAACACTGTGGTAGGTGAAGAAAGGTCCCATTCAGGGCTGGCATGGAGCAGCACTGGGGAGACACGTCCCTGGCTGGAACTGAGCCCACTCTTGCCTCTCCTGGGCAGGGACATCGGGAAGCGCCTGGAGGTGCGGCGGAAGGTGGACGGCACAGAAGGTCCTTTTACTCCGGCTTGGCCACTGCCGCCGCAGCGCAGTGTGCGCTGGGTCTCGTGTGCAGCCAGGATGCTCTCTAGGGGCTCTGGGAGTGGGGGTATCTCAGGGCATGGAGCAAGCCTGGGGTGGGCTCTGCCTGCTGCCCTTCCACCATCCTGTGGGACCAGCTTTGGCCATCCAGGGCAGTCACTCCTTGTCACCAGCGTCCTATGCTGGCACTGGGACTGACACCATGGGTGGTTGTGGGGGAAGTTCGCTCAACAGGAGCAGCAGGATGGGGATGGCTGTGCTGTCCTGTCCCTGCTCATGCCATGCAGGGTGGAGCCAACACTGTGGTAGGTGAAGAAAGGTCCCATTCAGGGCTGGCATGGAGCAGCACTGGGGAGACACGTCCCTGGCTGGAACTGAGCCCACTCTTGCCTCTCCTGGGCAGGGACATCGGGAAGCGCCTGGAGGTGCGGCGGAAGGTGGACGCCTGCTTGGGAAAAGCCAACTACATCAGCCGGTTGGAGCACGCACAGGCCAGGCTGACCCTGTCCTACAACCGGCGGGGGGACCTGGCCATCCACCTCGTCAGCCCCATGGGTACCCGCTCCACCCTCCTGGCTGCTAGGTTAGTGCTGGGCTGGGGGGTGCCAGGCTGGCACTGGGGTCTCTGCGGGACACCCCCACCCACCTCCACCCCTCCTTGCCCAGGCCTCATGACTTCTCAGCTGATGGCTTCAATGACTGGGCCTTCATGACGACACACTCGTGGGATGAGGACCCCTCTGGGGAGTGGGTGCTGGAGATTGAGAACACCAGTGATGCCAACAACTACGGTAGGGCTGGGCCGGCTGTGCACCCTGGGGGCCCAGGAGGTGGGAGCAGTGTAGGCACCTGGCACCCCAGCACCCCTGAGCCGAGGGGCTTTGCAGAGACCTGGCTGGGGGAGGCTGGAGCTGGGCATGCAAGAAAGGGATGTGGCTGCTGCAGGCTGGTGTTGGTCTGTGGCAGCAGGTGCCCCTCGTGGCAGCTGGCCTGGACCCCTCCTGCCCTGTGGGCAGTCCTGTGCAGAGGGCACAACCCCATGTCAGGGGCTCTTCCAGAGAGTGGGCACAGCCCCACTGTCCCCTGACAGCCCCCTCCCTGTGCCTGTCCTGAGCATGGGTGTTGCCCAGTGGTCCTCACCCTGTCTCATTGCAGGCACGCTGACCAAGTTCACCCTCGTGCTGTACGGGACGGCCACCGACTCCCCCAGCCTCTCCAACCAGCTGGAGAGCAGCGGCTGCAAGACCCCGACCCCCAGCCAGACCTGCG